TGGGTCCTAGGTGAGTCTCTCGAAAAACTAGATCAGTTTGCAGATGAGTGTATTTCGCTAAGACCGGTGTTTGTTTAAGTCTAGCTTTGTCGGGACGTAAAGCACTACGCATAGGCTTGCTGAAAACTTCGACAGCACACAACCGGTTTCGTTACCGAGTTCCCGTCAACCTTATGTCCTACTTGAACCCTAATTGTACGAACTTCACCAAATACGCTCACTGGCATACGAATTTGGATCTGGCGGGAGACTCAAGTCAGTCTCTCGTTTATGATGTTCTTCGACTGAATGGGCTGAGTAGTGCATTACGAATGTACATGTATCGCGATATATCGACTATCGTAGTGAATGAAACGACAAATTCAGCTGGGTCCTAGGTGAGTCTCTCGAAAAACTAGATCAGTTTGCAGATGAGTGTATTTCGCTAAGACCGGTGTTTGTTTAAGTCTAGCTTTGTCGGGACGTAAAGCACTACGCATAGGCTTGCTGAAAACTTCGACAGCACACAACCGGTTTCGTCCCCGAGTTCCCGTCAACCTTATGTCCTAATTGAAGCCTTATTGGACAGACTTCTCCAAATACGTTCATTCGCATACGAATTCGGTTTTGGCAGGAGACTCAGCTGAATGTAGCCGAATCCTTCGTTTATAATAAACTTGTTCAACTAGATGTGCTGCGCCAGGTCGCTTCACGTTTCATGTGCTACGATATTTGAGCTGTCTAAACGTAACATGTTACTTGTTCGATAAGTCTAGTCTTATTTTTAGCCACTGTCACCTAAAGAGCCAAACTGAACACCTCCATGAATCACTATGATAAAGTAGCTGAAATCTGACAAAAATATTGTTGCCGAACTTGTTTTCTATTTCATTATGTTTCAATTCCCCATTAAACGTTTAGCCACGATGGTCTGGTATTGAAGACAAGATTTATACACGGTTTCAAGTAATGTAACATCCGATTGCGCCATGATGAAATGAACGCTGGTTTCTCTCGAGCTCACAATGTTTTCTGGAAGAACTACATACATGTGATTTTAAATGAACTTCAAAATTAAGCAATACTTCCATGGAAGGCCCAAGGCGGTGACCCGCCGAGGGAAATGTCATGTGTTTTCTTGATCTTCTGTTGATACCTACTTTGTGGATTTCGAAAGTTGTTCTTCACCCCCTACAAAATCTGTAACCGTAAATGACGGAGAAATACATCAATCAGTTCATCTTTGGGATAGCCACAGCATTAGGCAAGCGCCAGAAGTGCTTCGGGTTAGGTGTGAAACAGTTTGCTCACTATTTCCTCTGTCTTCGTAAAACGATATTTCCCTAATGCTGTCTGTCGTGTGGATATACACGCAATGCCAGTTGATAGGATATTAAGGGTTGATCTGTTCGCCAGGACTGGTAGTTAACTTGCAAACGTTTCGTTAGCTAGTATCAGTACGGTAGGTAGGATATCTGTTCCTCCGTTCCTCTAATGTGAATCTCAGCCCCAATGGACTTCTGTCTTCTGTTTAGATCCGAGATTCCGTTTTTCATTTATTTTTCTGTGGAGACAGCCAATAAGCAACCCCATCTTTTAAGCATACAAAAACCGGTGTTAATGAAGCAGAAAACCTTCACTGATGGATTTGTCTTTCTCAAACACAGTATCCTTTGTCAAACTCGGCTTTTGAAATGCGGAAGCTCTGACCAATTGTACTCGAGTGAAATTGCACAGGTTGTATTAGAACTTTGGAATCAAACATCATCACTCAACCAGTGGATCAGTTAAAAATTATAGCAGCTATGCAGAGAAAAAGCAAAAGAAAGCTAAAACTGCTGCTCGTCCCCACTATATGGACTTTAGTTTTAGCATGGCACGGAGTGCTCTGAGTTCATCAAAATTCACACCACTGGCTTGTAGTGGCCCTCGTATTCCGGGTCTTTTGGTTGATTTGTGAATGTTCACCTTCATTCTCCTAATGGTTTCGTTAGATCTTAGATGTATAGCATACTACTCACGCATTAAGAGTAGTTTCTAAAGGCCACTATGTGGTAACCTGTTAATATTGTCGAACAAATGGAAGCACCATGAGGAACGGGTGAACATCTACACGATGGTAAAATTCATCGGTCGGAGCACGTGCATTTCAGCATGCTGTCGTCAGCAGAAAGGATAAAATAGATGAATTGCTGTTTGTGTGACTAGTCCATTCATTTGTTTGCTTAAGCGCGATTTTTCGGTACTAACTTACAGTATGTGACGATGGCCTATCGTAGTAGCCCGTAGTAACAAATGGCTATTGAGAAAACTTTTGCTTCAAGTTGAACTCCAGAGTAAACATTGGTGAGTGTCGTACTTCTGTCTGTTCCATCGACATAAACGATGTTTGTTCTTTGAAAATCACTTCGGATACCATGAAAACGCCTATGTTGTCTTGCAAGGCTAATTAAGAGCGACCATCGAACTTTCTTTTCCAGTCATTTTTTCTTCTTTGATACTTACGAACTCGATCGATAGTACCGGTTGAAAAGATGGATGTACCTTACTGCTTTGCAATATCACAGAACGAAGGTGTGAACGGCTCGTGGAAAGCAAAGAAATTAGTTCCTAAACTCATTGAAGATCGTTGTAATGTACTACTCATAGGTTGCTGAAAAATCCATCGACAGCCCACGACCGGTTTCGCCCTTCTTGGGGCTCATCAGGTAGGCGCAGTCCCCGGGTTTCCGCCAACCTTATATTCTACTTGAAACCAAATTGCACGAAATTAGCGAATATACACTCATTTGCAAACTAATTTGGTTCTTTCTCAGACAGCCTGGTGCAGCACATTCAATTGCCTGAGAACATCATAAACGAGAGATTCAGCTGGGTTCCAGGTGAGTCTCTCGAAAGAACCAAATTAGTTTGCAAATGAGTGCATATTCATTGAAGATCTCTTTGAGATAACACTCCCCTGCAAACTTGGGCAAATACCGCTGTAGTGGGGACAAAACGGAGAGGGTGAAGTTGTGGCACAATAGCTCTCAAGCTCAAGGGATGCAGTCTGAGAGGAAGGCGACTAATAATTCGAACGCCAGCTTGAGACCCATTTGTTGGTGTGGTGACCTGTCTTCCGTTCCACCCTAAATCACCACAAAGCTCGTCGCCGCAGGCTCACCCGGAATCCTTTTTATTGGTTCAGCTGAGTATGCGTTTTGCTTAGGTGAAGCTGTGAACTCGGTGACGCTAAATACTGTTCTCTCGTGATCTGAAACAATCTGTAAACACACAGCGCTCATGAGCAGTACGCATCTTTCTACGTGGCAAACCTGAGTGTGAAAGCTCTCAAATCGAGGATTTTTTTGTATCTTGGGAAGGCAAAGGGCGCTGGGTGTCGACGCTTTCCTTTTATCTATCCTGCGCAATACCAAAAGCCGCCAAATTTTACCTCATACATGGGAGACTAGGAGTAAAACAGTGGAACGGAGCCAAATACAGGCAGGTTAGGGTTTTATGTGCGCACAAGTTGGGTCGGTATTGACTACTCACCATAGCTTAAATGAGATCTGGCAATTTCTGGCTTACATTGAAGAACGAAATTCTCGACGTTATTTGTTTGCAGTTAGCCGTGTAAACAGCGGTCAGAATGTTTCACGACGTACACGTACGGAACCATAAATTTATGCAATTGCTGCTTAAACAACCTAATAGGCACAAGCAGGCAAATATGCCCTAGTTTAAAACTTCCATCCGCCCCACAAAGCTTCAAACAATATCCTTTATTCACAACACACTTTGTCAGCTCCCAGGGGGCTGGATGGAACCAACCGCCTAAATCTTGCTAGTCGAATAAAGCAATGCAATTTTTGAAACCCTTTTCAGTCTTTATGAACGGTCAACGATCTTTAAACGTTGACATTCTGCTGCCAGCCCATAGCATGTGAATTTCTCACCTACAGGCTCTGTCAAATGTCTGACATCCGGATAACGCGAAATGAAAGGCAAACCATTTGGTGTTGGTAACCCAGGGTGCACGATGTGGTACACTGCCTCACTCCGTAGCTCTCTCTCTCCGTGAGGGGAGATCTACACACCCCTAAATGAAGATGACAAATTACGGTCTGGTCTATTGGTCGCGACGAGCGCTACCTCTATTGGCCATTGAATGGCGAACGTAGCTACTGTAGGCAGTCGGCGTTACTTCAGTTACCCCACCCAGTTTGTCCGAATGGGGTGAGAGTGGTGAATAGGTGGGTTAGTCCTCAGGCTTTCCAACCCCAATATAGCAGCAGCGCCAACACAGTCAGCATACAAACCCACCATCATGTCAACCCCGCCCGCATGCGCAAGCGCGGTGTGTCTACCGAGTCGAACGGTGCTTACACAATTGGGCCATTAATCATCACACGTACCCATAAATGCCGACACCTCCGGGAGTGCCGATGTTTGTGCAGCTGTCGCGTAGGTGCTCAATTTGACAACGAATATTATCTGGGAGGTGAATGGGCTATCTTCGTATGATTGGGGGATGGGTGACATGGTAATTCGGTTGCCGACCGGGTTGGCAGTCATGAAACAAAGATAGCGGGTGCAGACACACACACACTAAAAAAAACGAGAAATCCAGACAAAATAAATTTTCCAGTTTTTATGTGTATGTGCGTTACTAATGTGATCGCGCTTGACACGATTGATTAGCCCGCGCGTTACCAACCCACTCCTTCCTTTTCGGTAAGAATGACGCACTGTTCAACCGCGTCAACTGATTTAAAAGTGTTTTGTTGCACAGGTATTATAATGGCATCATGAATTCTAAGTTTTGAAACTCTGAAAAAAGAATAATGCTCACAGTCAACTTAGAGTTTCACTCGACTACCTGTTGCAGTAGGTGGCTTTGCATACCAGCACACATCAATGCTCGTTCCGGGACTATGAAATATCGTTCGATTCCATCCCAACAACCCAATCACCACATTACCAACCCAATCTGTAGCGTCAAACGTAAGTCAGTGCATCGGAAAGGCAGGTTAGTATCGTGAAAATCTGAACATAGGTGAGAGGCAACTAATCGGGAAGTTATACATACAGGACGGGATTCTGTGGGATAGTACAGACTATTTTAGTTTGATATACGTGAAAGCCACTCATCCCTGGTTTGAAATGAATGAAAAGCAGCTAGATTCGAATCCCAGGGACGTTTTGGTTTAGTGCACCTCGCGTGCATTCCACTTGGAGTTGGACAGACTTGTGCGGCCTTGTTGATGGGTAGTTCGATGTAGTGCCAAAGTTCGTGACTGACAGAATCCTTTGCCACAAATGTCGCACGGAAAGGGTTTTCTGCTACTGTGAGTAAACCTGCGGGTTTTTTTTTCAAAATACAGATGAGTAGCATACGGCTAAACAACGTGAGACAGAAAATGTAGTTGACTGGTTCATCTAAGACCTCTTAAGTTCGATAGATTTGTTTGCAACCTGAACCATAGCTGAAATACGATTAGAGAGGGAACAGCTTTTTAATACACTACAATGCTCTCTGGAAAGGTACTGAGAATCTTGTCAGTCAGTTTTAAGGGGAGTATTGTCAACTAAGCGATGTTCAACAGGCCTAGAGACCACGTATCGAATTTTTGTCCAATCACTATCTGTCCGGCCGATTGCCGTACGCTATGCATTTCAGTACTGGAGAACAGATTGTAAGCTCATGCATGACGTTGTGGGGTACGCATGCTGTGATGCACTATGCGCTGGTCAAATCCTCCATATCGGGAGTGGTGACTGGCCAAACTAAAGGCTACCAGAAGAAAATCGCTTGCCCTACAAGCATGTAAAAACATATATTTCATCAGTCACAGTTAGTTTCTGCGAGAAACTTCACAAGAAGGAGCGAATACCTCGAGGAGACAAGGTCTGCACTACGGAATATTTTACTTCCCTCTGGAAGAAACTACGCTTCCGTGTAAATTGGTGTTTGGATAGGAAACATGATTGGTGAGTGCTGGAAGACTGCTTGTGCCTGTTGAGCCCAAAAAGGGTATGATTGGCTGTTGAAGAGTTTTCAAACAACCATACAAAAACTACTCACAAGGTTGCTGAAAACTCTTCGACGGCCCACGACCGTTTTCGCCCTTCTTGGGGCTCATCGGATAGGCGCAGTTCCCGAACTTCCATCTACTACTTGAACTCCAATTGCACAGATCTCGACTAATACATTCACTTGCATGTTGCTTTAGTTTTCACGACAGACTCAACTGAATCACTTGTTTATTCTACTCTTCAACTGAATGTGCTGCACAAAGGCCGCCTCACGTTGGTGCGATATTCGATATATCGCAGTATATCTTCATAAAGGAAAAGACTCATTTGGGAGAACATACTGTGATATCTCGAAATTAATACCAACTAAAAATAAGGTGCCCTTTTTGCAGCACATTCAGTTGAAGAGGTTTCGTCGGATCTCCCACGAAGACCAAACTGATATGCGAACGAGTGTATTTGTCGAAACCTTATAAATAATGAATAATAAAGAAATACGGTACATAGTTTCCAGTGAAACTAATCCTATTTCTTCCTCGCCCGATCACTAGAGCAGTTTCTTTTGCCCGTTGCCTAGTTTTACCAATCGACTGACAGTCATATTCCCTCTTATCCTACAATATAAACAAGTCCTTTTGGAAATGACCTCGGTAGTCTATTGGGGAACCTGTAACACACTTGCGATACAGACTAAAGATAGAAAGCGTTTTGAAGCAATCCTCGATAACTCCCTAATTACTGGGTTCCAAAAGTTAAGATTAGTTAATTGAACTTCTATTCTCATTCTACACTCGTTCTATTAACATCTTTCGCGATTCTCATTCGACGACAGAGTAGTCACACAGAAATTGCAACAAATGAAAACAGTTATCTATCATTTTGCGTCCGTGTGGGCTTGATGGACTAGGATATGTCTCTGGTTCGCATGTGCAAAACTGCTAAAGTTCCAGGGTATTTCCAGTGTGATAATTGAAATTTTTCTCCACATTCCGTGGAAGGCTTCTTAAGCAAAAGGATTCATATAGACGGATTCTAATTGTTGTCCACCCAAGAGGAACGTCGCCAGACATGTCCCCCGCTAACGAAATAATATCGGCACGATGTGCGCATCACTGTGATATTGCCCGTAATTTAGTGGCCACTCAGCTACTTTTGTACAACCTACGTATCTTCGCACCTAAAAAGTACTTGCAATGGGCTTATTTGAAGAAAAAAACAGACCTGCTTTGTCATGAAGTCGGTAGGCGAATGAAACCGCAACCACACTTACCTGTGATCACGAAGATGGTCCTGTCTGCGGAACGCCTTGCCACACACATCACACGGGAATGGCCTCTCGTTCGTGTGCGTTCTTTCATGAATCAACAAGTTGTAGGATTTGGTAAACTGGCGTAGGCAGAAGCGACATATGTACTGCTTTCGTGTTCTGTCGGTTTCAAAGGACCATAAAAATGAAATTCAGTTACTTCCCACATCAATTGTCATTGAATGGAGCAGATCAAACAGCACTCTTGATTTCGACGAATACTCTCATTTGTGCACGATTCTGGTATTTTAAAAAAATCATTCAGCTGTAGCACCCTTTCGGTGCCTAACTGCCATGCCACCCGAAGGAGGGATACTGCCAGGTTTCCCAAGCCTAGACAGGGAAAGTCGAGAGGCAGAGGTCAGGTTCGAACCACGGACCTTCCGGTCAGTGAATTCGCGCTCTAACCACTTGGGCCATCTCGCCCGCCAATCTGGTATTAACAGGAGACCCAGCTAAGTCCAGCTGAACCTCGTGTTTATGAAATTCTTCAACTGAACGTATTGCATCAAGTCAACTCATGTTTCATCCGGTAAGACACCCCTTCTTTTCCCAAGCTGCCTATCGCCACCAAGCACTTGAAGTTTTTAGGAAGTCAATGACGTTTCAACCATGACACGGCTATTCATTGCGTTTATTTGTGTCTGAACGACTTTAAAATACCTGCTAGCCGATTCGTTCGGGTTTTTTGTCTCGTCCGAAAATCCGAAACTGTTGTTTATACCGACGCTTCCCATATGCCTCCACGCTAGAGAGTATTCGTCGACAGAATTACAAATATACAATGTCCACTTACTACTATTCGAATTGTTGGGGCTTCGAATTCTATGGGTTTAGCAGTGCTAATGCTCTATGGTAAGAACAAAAGGAATGTACGATAATTCCCGGCGATTCAGCACAGGTTGGCTCGGTTTTGTCTCACTTTGCTTTCGAATGCTGGGAATTTGGGTGGGGAATGTCCTTGTACAATCGGCCACCGAGTCGGATGCAACCCCTTTGATTAACGCGGCTATTGATGGACGCAGAAACGGTCAAAACCTGAAGATTTGATCTCATAAAAAAGAACGTTTCTCCAAAGTTAGTAGGAAATTTCTGCTGCTTTTTCAGTAGGACCATAAAACCATAAAGATTAAGCTGAATCGTTTTTCAGATGAGAAACAGAGTAGGAGACTTCCAACTAATCAAGCTGTCAAACGGGCATCCATCTACTGGACTGTTGAAAAGCTTCTCAATGGACATCGAAAAGTCAGGTTTTCCCATGGAATTCAAATCTATCACATTACTGTTCAGCCACAAGACGATGGAACTTTCAAGGTTGACATCTAACTTTAAGAAAAAATCGTACACCGAGTGACCTCCAGCATGTTCAAGCCAATTCCTGTTCAGTTTGATAACAAACACAAGTGTGGAGTGGATATTGCTGACATCCTTAGGAAGGCTTAGATTTGGCGTTTCCTAATGGATTGCTCTCTTGCAAAGAATCTCTGGATTAGAAATATCGAGGTGTCCATTCTGGAAATTTGTTGTCCCATGCAACCAACATAAGACGTATGCAAGGGTTAGAAGCCGACGCTGCAAAAACTGATTGCATACACTTGAGAATGACCTCAATACTTATCAAGAGGCTGCAACTATTACGAAAACGCCCTTTGTTGCCGTCGTGACAGCGTGTACCATGGGCTTATTCGTGACGAGCAACCGAGAAGCTTAGACTGTCGAGCATTTAGATCCCCTCAGAGGCACTGGAGCCCGTAATGTTTTTAAAGTCAAACGGTTTTCGGTAGAGCTGAGTTCCTGAAGCAGTAACTGGAAATAGGTAGATATCGGCCAATGAACGTTCGCTAGTCGTTCGAGCGACGTGAAAACTACGAATGAAAATGCATCACGCATGGGACAGTGATGACCACGTGATAGTTCATGTCATGGTCACGTTACCTGGATAGGTACAGTAGAGGAAAATGACGCCCATACGGGAACACTGAGCAGCTTGGATAAAACAGAGAGTATCGATGAGTTCATCTTGCCGGGTTCCTTCTACTTCTTTGAGGAAGCTCAGAAAGCATCATGGTAAAGTCATCAGACGACAGATTAGGGCACATCGATCTCACTAAGAATAGCAGAATTCATTGACGCTTCGGTGGCAGTCGAGTAAATAGACACCTTTAGAGTACGCTACACATAAACCATTTTTCAGCTTAGTTGTACGTTGTAAGTTGAAAAATGAGGACTTCGGGTACGTACGTTTGTTGCTGTTTCTAGCTTTAAGATCTTGGCAATATGTGGAAATATTGGCAGATCAAATGCGTTTACTGGTAAGTGATGAGGTGGGTGTTGATCTGTCCGTCGAGTTTGATAATTAGCTTGGAGACTTTTCGTTCGTCACCGATGGACAATGTCGTCTCCTCGACTGGTAACGAGACGTTTTCAAGCTATCGCCAAACTCAGTGAACAGACCAATGACCACCTGATTAGTTATTAGTGAAGCCAAGGGATATCGATGGTCCCAGATACGAAGTAAAATGTGATGAACGTCACTCAGAGCTGATGTAGCTCAACAGAAAGAGATATAGATCTACGGAAGGACTTTCTACGGACTATTTGGAGCCATATTTGCTGCTCCAGATGAACAGTTCTGTGTTGTGAAAACTAGCCTGTACATTACGCTAAGTTGTGTATTTAGTTGTTGACAAAAGCAACCTACTCAAGTCACTGGGGCGATCGAACTGTTTCCTCATCGATACCTCTAGTATTTGACAAAAACGAGCTCAAATGTTTGAGAGATAAAATTTCACCCGATGATACACTGAGGAACAATTTGGTGAACAGCCACTGACCAACGCAAACTGTCGTCTGAAACGTAAACGCCTCTAATCTTATTAATGGCTACTTGGTAAAATTTGCTCACCTTCTCCTGGGGTTCTGAGTAAGCTTCCCCTCCTTCTTTTCCTTTATTGTTCCGCACTTGACCTTCACTCTGTAAACAAAAAAAAGATATCCTGATGTGAATAGCCGTCGGAAGCACTGACACGAATTGCAAACCACTTATTTTTCCTTGTAGTTGCCCTGTAACATACTCGAAATCACTAGATTACAAAGATATATACGTCCAATCCTCATTGTGCCTTGTTCGCATTTTCTGAAGCACAGATAACCCCAAAACGGCAATTTGGTCATGCTTAGATTGATTGTATTGCTCTTGAACCCTGGCGTTCTCTGTATAGACTTGATTTCCCGTGTTCATTTGGTCGGTACCGAAAACCTTGCCAAGCAGAAAGGTATTCCATTGGCTTTCACAACACCATAACAATGCATAGGAACGTGCTTGTTCTGGATATCAAATTTCAACAACTGTGATAAACAGGTTGGCCTGCCAACTGGTGAATGTTATGTTGTACTTTTCTGCAGCGAATGGCGCGCGCTTGTCACAACAGACGTTGTCAGTGGACCCCGGCATAGGACAGATCATGCTACCAGTGGCCTACACTAAGCGGATCGTCAAGCCATCCACTTATCCCACGGATTAGTGTAAATTTGATGCAATCGGACCGGAGTATTGGCCTTGAGCTAGTTCTAGGACTGTGTGTTGTCAGTCCTACTGAGAGATTCAAGCAGGTGAAACTTATGATGGGCTATCTGGTGGCTCGTTTCAAATCCAGAATTTTGATCTGTAAACTGATACTCACAGGAGATAGCCTCTACCACCGATGTAGACCTGTTATTCCACAGATGTCAGTGTTTTCAAGCCCCGACGGAAAAAACTAACCATCTGAGCACAGTACTGCGTCACTCATGCGTTGGATCACCCGTGCACCGCTGATTCAACGGTTGAATACATTAGTGAATAAAGTATAAAAAACTGAGTTAATTAGCGAAGTGTCAGTCATCTGAGTCTGACGCGCAGGCTACATCGCGCAAATCTCAGTAGGGAATCCCCTTTGTCAAAACATTTGAGACAGTTCCTGTCAAACACCAGAAATAAGTTAGATAAGCAGAATGCAAGTTACTAACTTTGCAGGGGTTCCACCACGGGCGGGTTTGCTTGAAACTAGATCATTCGCACGAGTCCATTCGACAGAGATCCTGTTATCCAAGTCGGTCTGCCTGTCTTCTGATTCCAAGCAAGATCTGGCCAGATGTTTGAAATCGAATCCTATGAAGTAGAAAGAAACTTTTGATATTTGGCCTGGGAGGTCAAACTGTCGTGTATGCTAAACGCTTAACACGATAAGTAGAATGGAAAAGGGATAATCTCAGCTGTCATAACTTGTGCGAAAATTCTGACACTGGCAAGTTTTTTTGTGTGCGTGGAAACAAGCAGCAACACGCTCTTATTTCAAAATCGCTGATTTTAATCAACAATAATGCAAAGAATTTCTGACGGGAGACTCGCCTCCCAATCTCTCGTTTGTACTGATTTTCTTCAACTCAATTTCAACACCAAATTTGTAAGCAATTGAGAGTATTTGGCGAACTCCGGCTAATTTGGGTTCACGTAAGGTTGACAGAAACTTGGAGATTGCGTCCATCTAATGAGCCCGAAATGGAAAGGCGAAACCGGTCATGGAAGAGTTTTCGACAGCGTTAATAAGTAAAGATGCCCTCATAAAGCAGGTTGTCTTATCTACTGGGAGGACTGGATAGGGAAGGAACACTTATATCAGCGGTCCGTGAAAAACCATTCTTTATATGACATGCTTCATTAAAACGAGGCTTTCTGCATTGTACACAATTTTGCTTGGTTCTGCGAAATTCTTCCAGTTATTGTTATGTACCGAATTCCATGTTCGTACTAAAAACTTCCAGATTTGCTAATGACTAAATGTATGGGTGACATTGTGCCACATTCATTTGGAGGGAATGTTTTAGATCAGTCCCATTGGTGGTCGCTGTAAAGAGGTTCATTCTTGCTCATTCATATCTTGATTGCCTGCTTGGCCCATCTCCTATGGCTCATGAAGAACAAGAGTTCGAGGGTTCGTGAATAGTTAGAATACTGATCCTGTTCGGTTGAGGTAAAAAGAGTGGAAGCACTTGATGACTGTTTTCTCCTTGAACAGAGTTGTTGGTAGTTCACATATTGTCACAACAACTCTCACTGGATGGGTTTAAGGTTATCTCCGATGCATCCAGAGGGCTTATTTTCTCTTTCATCTTTTACGTTTAGCCGGTGTACCGTAGTAGTTTAAAAGATAGCTGGTTTGGAACTATGCTGTCGAAAAGCTCATTGCTCCCCGGTCCGAACCCATTCACAGAATGTATCATTGCTCTTTAGTTACTCTTCAATTACATTCACCATATTTCTCTCCAAGGGGAGAAACAGATTTCCATTTTACTGATGATGACTAGGGGAGAAGCTTTAGGTAGTATGAAGGACGTGAGGGATGCACAAATGAGAAAGGGGAGAACTATAGGGAATGTAATTGAAGAGTAAGCGAATAGTAACGATACATTTACACTGATACATTTACATTGATAAAAATGGTGAGTTTGAGAACTAGTCGTGCAGTACGCACCGCTAATTTCGAATTAAAGTATTTTTCAGTTTTTTCATAAAATTTTCGGTCAAAAAATTCTTACAGCTAACGGACATTAACTGGGACAGGTCCTGGTGTGAGCGTGAGTGTACAACCAATAATTGTCTACTTCATGCGTACATTCTGCAAAACGGGCAGAGTTTTCGATGACTGCCGGGGATGTTTGTGACCAACCAGCGTGGCTGTTCCGTTCTTCAAAATGCCTATCGATCCGTCATGTGTGAACCATCTAGACAGCTGTCAGCACCTAATTGTGCAAGGCACCATTCGAATGCATCTGCAATTACTGCAGTGGAACAGTGGGTCACGGTTTTCGACTGTAAGAGTCTACGCCTGTTCAGCGCTACGAAACCCGCGAAGTACTCTCATTTGCTCACCAATTCGGTTCTGACGGGAGGCCTAAATTAAGTCTAATTGAATCACTCGCTTATGATACCCTGCAACTGAATGTGCTGCACAAAGGCCACTTCAAGTTACAGGTGATGCGATATTCGAGATTATGCGTTACAGAGCACACCACCTTCAAGGTTTCTGAAGTCCCTTCGGCTACCACGACTGATTCCGTCCTACTTAAGTTTCATTAGTATTGTTCTCCATCTGGAGCAGGCAACCTAGTTTGAAAATATGCAATCATTAGGAATGATATTAGCCAAGGACGAGAAAATATAATCACGAATACCACGAAGAAACCGAATGAATCCAAAATGATACTTTTGACCACAAAAACAACCTTGTGAACGCCTAATGGATTTTGGGGAAGGTCCAATCTCTACTCTGCGTTTTCAAAACGGCATCTAGTGCGAAAGAACTTCTTAGCGCGATAGGCTTGATGATCTCGGTTTTTTCTGGCTATTTATCATCCTCCTGTTGATAGGAGGACGTCCGTCCGCCCATCGAAACACACCCGCGGCATTAGTCATGTGTTCGATGTACAGTAGTCCCAAACCAGGACGGACTACTTCGGGGGGGGGGAAGGGCTACTGCTCCACGTCTGAGGTGTTTCCGTTTCTCGAACAGATCGTTCCCGAGAGGTGCCAGTGTTTTAGTGTTCCTATACTGATTGCAGTGATGCTCACGTTTGTGGGGTGAGGTAAAAGTTTGAGAACAGCTAATCTAGACGATAGAAGTCCTTAGCAAGAAACCTCTGAAATGGGGATATCTTAGTTGCCCGAACAAACCATTAAAACACCAGGATAAGTTTATCCGATATCAGGGGTTCTCATTACCAACCATACCTACCTTTTGTCTTGGTCGTGGTGACAGTTTCTACGTGTTCTGGGTTCCATTTGACCGCGGACTGTAAGACAGTGGGTTTTGGGTACGAGTAATTTTCCGGGCTGGTGGTCTCATCCACTGTGGCAAACAATCGCAGCAAGTGATCACTGGAGGCATCTAAATGTAAGGCTTTCCTGGATTCCGGAAGTTTTGCAGATAGTTGTTGATGAAACAGCTCCAGCGATTCATCAAATGGGCTCCGGGTGAACTGAGGAACTGTTGAGGTTGGAGGAAGTTTGTGATTCATATGTATAGGATAAGTCCCGTTGTGACGTGTGGCCTTGCTCTGGCCTGGCTGTAGATGAACACCGGTTGGTTGGGCGGATCTTGTGGTTTGCACTTCTACTGGGGATGCGCTTTGAAAAGCACTGGGTTGAGATGATGCTGTGACGGACTCTTGCAATTTGGTCTTTAGTAAATTATACCTCGATGCTAGATCTCCAGGATTACAAGATTTTTGCCGTTGATAATTCGGTGGCGAAGAAGGTTGAACTTGCGCTGCTGTCAAATTTGGGGGTTGTCTAATCTGTTCTCCGGGTGACATCACTTGAGGAATGGAATTACCCAGATAGAAAGCTGTACCGGAGGTAAATGCTCGGAGCCAAGCGAATAAGATGGAGAAGTAGTACGGATTCACAGCCTCATTCGTGGAGCAAGAAGATACCCAAGAAAATGGCATATCGGTGACGACTGGGTTTGATGGCTGTTGGGGTGTAAGGACAGTCGGATAAGCTGGAACCTTTTGTGGCGACAGCTGTGGTGGCCCTGCGGATGAGAGTGAGGTTTACATATAGACAGTCCCATCATTACATCATTTAAAGAAGAGAATTTAACACATAGCGCACTACTCATAAGGCTATTGAAAATTCTTCAACACCCCACGACCGGTTTCGCCCATATTGAGGCTCATCAGATAGGCGCAGTCTCCGAGTTTCCGTCAACCCTATGTTCTACTTGAAACACAATTATTTTGTTAACATGCGCCAACTACCAGTGATCGATCGGATATCAGGAACCACTCCACTTACCAGTCAACGTAACGAGTAGCTATTAGCTGCGTACAGCAGCTCAACAAACAAAAACACGTCTGTGTATAAAAAAAATAAGCGAACGACGACGCTACGTTCATGTGCCCTTCAAAGTTTTGTCAATAAAACAAACAGTGGTGCGAAATGTGGGACAGTAGGGGGACAGTAATCGATTTCCAGATGCAGCGATGCCTCTGTTATGTCGCCTAGCAAACCAATGCTTAGCGCACTCAAGACCACATTTGGATGAATTGGTGTTAGCGAATCCTGAAGTGTGACTTCCTGCTCGGTGGTAATGCGCCGTTTACCTTCATCAATAGATAGCGGTTTGTGTGCGATTTAACTTCTATAAATGTTCTTCCGGTAACATCAATCCCCTCAGACTCCCTCATCCTTTTACTCTCGATACCCATGTACTTCTATTTACTCTCACGGTGGGCGAACTACAGGTAGAATTCGGTAGGGTGATATACAGTCAAGCATAAACGAGCAATAAGTGAAACTGTCTCAAACTGAGTGGTCACAAGTCCTGCACCATCCATGACATCGGACCACAAAATGAGATAAATAATACGGCCAGTTATCACTTGGTTTTTACTATGGTAGTTGGTGGTTTCCATCAAACCTCAATGTCAGAGGTTGCCCTGTAAGAGGTAAACATGTGGGACCGTAATTTATTAGTGTCCTGATGTGGCTTACATGTGATTCTGCCTATCACTAATCTCATTAGCCATATTGACAGCAATGAGCGATGGTTCCTTGGATGTTCTGACTTCTAATAAAGTTCAGCTGTAACATCCCTTGGGTGCACAGCTGTCATGCCACCCGAAGGGAATACGAAGGCGTGGGTATTGTCGGGTTACCCAAGCCCAGAAAAGAGCAGTCGGGATGGCGAGGTTGGATTCAAACCATGGGTTTTCAGGTCAGACGTTCGCGTCTTAGCCAATGAGCTATCTTGAGCTCTAATGAGAAGTAACCCTCTATCCCGAAAGCAGAAACGCACCTTTTGCGGTTGGATACATGCTGGCGGTCCATTGAACTAAAATGACCGTTTAAGATGTGCGGATTTTCGTATTGCACTACTCATAAAGTTGCTGAAAAATCTTTGACAGCCCTTCTTGAGGCTCATCAAGTAGGCGCAGTCCCCGAGTTTTCGTCAACATCAGGTTCTACTTGAAACCAAATTGCACGAAATTAGCTAAATACAATCATTTGTGTCGTAGCAACTGAACCATGAGGCGGCCTGGTGCAGCACATTCACTTGCCTGGAAACATCACAAACAGGGGTTCAGCTGGGTTCCAGGTGAGTCTCTCGCAAAACCAAATTTGTTTGCAAATGAGTGTATTTTGTTCATGTGAGGACTTCTCCTTTCTAGAGCATTGCCATTCAAAACTTGCTTGTCGAATAAACGTGCTCCTTCCTTTACTGTGGATTTAGGCAAGCCAATGCGAATGTGAATTGTAATACAATAATGTCATGCAGTGAATCGCATGTGGCTGCAACTGATGAGGAATTTCAACGCAAGCTTTATCCAATTTCGTTGTTTGTATGAGGTGACAATCTTAGTTCTTTCTTGAGCAAAGTAGAAGGCAGAAAGCCAGTGTGGCAACGAGTTCAAGTCCTTTCGGACGGTGAACACCGCAGTCGGGGGTAGGATAAAAATGGTGGGCATGCCACAGCAGAGTGGTTTCTAACGCCGTTCATCAACCAAATGTTCATAAGGCTCCGCAGAGAGAGCACCCTCTATTCCGTGGTTAGCATGCACACTGAGCTGTCCGCATCACTCTGGTTTGTCGTGGGGTTGGTTGAGTGAGACCATTTAAAACATCTACCAAGTACTCTTTTAAGACTGCTGTTGACCTTGATAAAACATTGAATGCATAAGCGCTTGTTCAGTCTACATATCGCGCATCGTTAAAAAAGGCAAAGCATAACCTCTGGCTGCCCCTGCGAGTAAGTCTTCTAAACTTGATTATAAAAACTGTTACCCGAACATCGAACATGGCCTCATTCCGAACCACCTAATAAAAGCATCAATGTAAATTACCGAAGCAAGCGCTGTCAATGCACTCAGATTTTATAAAAATAGCGTCTTCTTTTCGAGAAATACACTCATCTGCAAATCAATTTGGTTTTCGCGAGAGACTCAATTGAATCTCTCGTTTATGATGTCCTCCAGCTGAATGTACTGCACACGGGCCGCCTCATGAGTTAGTTGGCACAACATTCGAGATATCGCAGTATATTTTCATAAAGGAAACTACTCACAAGGTTGCTGAAAACTCTTCGACAGCCCATGACCGGCTTCGCCCTTCTTGGGGCTCATCAGGTAGGCGCAGTCCCCGAGTTCCCGTCAACCTTATGATCTACATGAACCCAAATTGCACTGTTTTCAAGAAATACTCATTTGCAATTCAATTTAGTTTTCACGAGAGACTTCAGCAACCTTGCGAGTAGTTTCCTTTATGAAAATATATAGCGTCTTCTTTGTTAACTTCATCTAAGTGAAGCACATTACTACTCTAGCTGTCCAAGTAGTCTTCAGGGAGAGCTTGGAAAAAACAAATGTGAGCACGTGATTCCAAACCCTTGAGTGAAGCAGGGAACGGTTGTACTTTGGACCAGACATATATTGTCCTCTTGCCAGAACGTAGAACCCTCATGAATCGATGCCGTGTGTCACTTTAAAAATAACCATCGGCTTTCATCCGCCAACTAATTAACTCGCTGTTAGGATTTTCAAGCTTCGAAAAGTGGGACTAATCAACGTAGTCCGCGGTGTCGCTCCATTCTTTTGGTCATTCCACGTGATGTGATCGACTTCAAAAGAACCGCAACGGTTTAAAAGTTTTCAAAGTGTTTACACATTTTCTGCCGTGTTTGTAAAGTGGCGTTTACCTGGTTGGTTGGGTGAGATTGTCTTGACAATTAAACAGATCTTGATGGTCTGCGAATCGGCGATACAACCCTACACACACACAAGTCATCGAAGCAAGTCGAACGGCTGCAACATGTCCACGTGCACGGTGACTGGGGACATCAAATTTGCCTGGTGTCTTACGTCCAAACCACCTCACACACTTTTGCAACACAACGCAATGTGTAATCGGTCTGGTTTCTATGCGTTTTGGTTTTACGAAGATGACAAAAGACGCACCCACCAAATGATGCATGGGTTCTGGGTGTTCCCAATCTGCTGTCCTAATCAAAATTAGCGGGTGGCGGGAGCAAAGGAACGGAGCGAATTCATGTTGCCAGGGTACTGTGTTTGTGATGATGTGTCGCGTTACGCTGCCTAGAATTTTCAACTTACTGAAACGCTGCAGCTCTATAACAGAGGATGGGCTGATTGAAATCCACTTCTGGTGGACCAGCAGAGCAGGTATTCGTTGCGGAAACAAACTTTGAAGCTAACCGGATGGAGCCAAAATCGTTTATAATATCACATAAAAGGGTCTAGTCACCGTCGCTTTCGATATTTGTTTGGTGTCTTGACAAAAGCCTAACCGATAAATTAGTCTAAAGAAAGAGCGGGAACATAACATGTATTTGATCCACTGAGCTAACAACGAGACTGTGCATCTGACTTCAATTCGGGAACTCAGGGCTAAGGAGACCGAAACGCTAAGGCTTAGTCATTTTGCGGCGAAATGTTATCCAGCTATGCACAGCTTACTTTGGTGAAATAACCGATTCTCTTGTATGTTTATGAGTAACATGGTTGATTCTTTTTGTGCTGATCTGAGTCCACATCATACATCTTTCGTGAGTAAATTGAACAAAGGAATGGAAAGGTAATTAAGATAGATCGCAATGGCAAAAAATTCTCCAGTTCAGGTGGTTTTACTTCATAAAGGAAACTACTCACAAGGTTGCTGAAAACTCTTCGACATCATAAACGAGAGATTCAATTGAGTCTCCCGTGAAATCCAAATTGATTTGCAAATGGTTTTACTTCAGTTTCGGTCCTCAACATCACATGTTTCAGCTGAGATACGGTCCAGTCAGGGGTATCGCGCAACCAGGTCACAAATGATCAGTCATAAATGAATCAGGTAAAAAATCCCAGGGCATTCACTGAAATGGCATCGCTGTTTTACGAAAAACAATCTAAAAGGATGATCATGACAAGTTGCATCCTGGTACAAAGAAACCGCTCGTAATTCTTTACAACCGATATGAAGTGGGTTTCCATAGGATAAATGAGAATAACAGCTGATAACAGTGGATCAAACAGCTGAAGTGGTGATATCATCCTCGTTAATGACGGTTGGTAGGAATGCAGTGTAAACAAAACGCGCAAATTTATGAGAACCTCATTTCCAGCTTGATAGTTTTAATCGATTTAGCTGTAACAGCCGGAGAAAAACGCTGTCTTAACGGCGGATAAGTGCACTGCGTCCATCCACAGGCGATATCGACGTGGCTTTCGCACAAAGATGTAAGGATGAGTGGGATAATCCCCAATGTCCTGAAGCCACATGGTGGCCCATTTAGTATGGGACTGGGCATGAAGACATGTTCAAAACACATTTCTGTCCAATATACCGTCTGTCCAACAAGTGATGTATTGCTGTCTGTGATGATGACGAGTCTTCGAAGTTTAGGTGGACCACTTCTTCAGGGGTATTTAAGAAGCCGTGGTCAGAGGTATGGCGACAACTTTTGCTTACGTTGATAAGGAAGTAAGTTGCTTCTAGAATTGCGCCTTTTCCGGATGTCGAAAGACATATAAT